AGCCTGCTTCCCTTTCTGGGTTCTCATTTTCCGTTAATGTCATCAGCATCTGATCAGTCTTCTCTAAGCTAAAAAACAAACAAACAAACAACTGAGCATTCTTTAAATACTCCCTTGAAAGGGCCCTAGTTGGCACAAATGATTAAGTGCTCAGCTACAAACTGAAAGGTTGGCGGTGGGAATCTACCAAGAGGCGCCTTAGAAGAAAGGCCTGGCTGTCTGCTTCCAGAAGGTCACAGCTTTGAAAACCCTGTGGAGCACAGTTCTCCTCTAAAATACATGGGGTCACCATGAGTCGGAATCAACTCAATGGCAACTGTTTTCAACTACTCCCTTACACTCATCCTCTCTCCATACCCATGCAACATACATACATAAACACAAATATACAATTACCTACCAAATTCTGTTAGCTCTGTCTCAGAAATGTCTTGAATCCATCTTTTCTATCTCATCCTTACTTTTTTTGCCCCACATTGGGGTTAGTTGTCTCATGCCAAGATTGGTACAACATTCTCCCACCCAGGAGACTACCAAACAAATCTGTGATGGTCACTCTGCTGCACAAAACTTCCGTTGGCTCTGGAAACAAGTTAAAGCCCACCTTGATTAGCTTATACACTGAGGCGTATTTCCACCTGCCTTCTCTCCCTTGACATCCTTGGGCATCTTTGAGTGTGTTCACACTGAACCATTTAAAGATAACCGTGTTTCCTCCTGCCCCTGTGCCAGGAAGGCCATGCTTCCTGTCTCCCCTTAACAAATTCGTACTCATCCTTCCAGAAGAAACTCAAATGTTGTCTTCCCTGTAAAGCGTTCTCTGGTACACCCACCCCTTCCCCTGCCTCTCCTGTGCTCCGAAAGCATTTTATTCAAGCCAATTTATAGGATTAAAGTTTTGTTGCAGTAAATAACTTACAGGTCTGTTTTCCTTTCCAAGGCTTTACCCTTAGCAGGGTAAAGGTCATACCTCATTTATCTTTAGAGGTGCTCAGTACATATTTATTGATTGAAGTCTGTTGAATGCTCAGTTGATATGTGTTGAATGAAGGGATAGGTGGAAGAAGAGGTAAGATTGAAATAAATATGGAGAACAGATAAGGCAGAGGAAATAAAATGATAGGATTGTGGAAGGTAAGACGTCACCAATACAAGAGATATGACATGGGAAATTGGAAACGTTAAAGATGAAGGCATAAATACTTCAAGTAATTCAAAAATTTTTAAAAATATTTATGAGGTGCTAGAAATTGCTATTTAATATAGACCTACTGATCTGATGGTAAAGACA